TTCCATGGGAGGTACAGAGTGAGAATCAGGAGCAGTTGGTTCAGATTGATGAGCAGCAACTCCAGCATCCAATGGAAAAGTAAACCCGAAAACCCTAGATACTGGTCTAGAAATGGCTACAGCAAATATTGCAATAGTTTCAGCATCACTCTAGGGAATAGAACCACAAGAAGGATTGACCAGTGCCGGCGCCGGAGTGACAAGCTCATCTACCTCCTGAATCGGGCTTGGAACAAAAGTAGTACCTGAGTTTCGCAAATTCTGCAAAATTGAATCAGTAGAACTCCTATGCTATACTAATTGAGGTGTAGAATTGTTCTGCTTCTTCTTCTTAGCCATCGAAGATCAAGATTGATGAAGAAACCGATCAAAATCGACTAACCATAGAGAAGAGAGAGAAGAGAGAAAGTCAACAAAAATCAAACCTCAAATGTATTTGACTTTCATTTGATTTAAAAATTTTTGTTTAATGTGTTTGACATTCATTTTATTCAATTGGATTCGTTGAATGCATTTGACTTTAATTCGATTAAAAAAGTTTGTTTAATATGTTTGACTTTCATTCAATTCAAAAAGCTTAGTTTGAATGTGTTTGGCTCCCATTTGATTCAATTATCTTTGTTGAATGCATTTAACTTTCATTCGATCCAAAAAGCATTGTCTGAATGCATTTGACTTTCATTCGATTCAAAAAACTTTGTTTGATTGTTTTTTTTTCATTCGATTCAAAAGTTTGTTTGAATGTGTTTGACTTTTATTTGATTCAGAAAGCTTTAATTGAATGTGTTTGACTTTCATTTGATTCAATTAGTTTCGTTTAATGCATTTGATTTTCATTTGATTCAAAAAGCTTTGTTTGAATGCATTTGACTTTCTTTCGATTAAAAAAGCTTTGTTTGAATGTGTCTGACTTCATTTGATTTAAAAAGATTTGTTTGAATGTGTTTAACTTTTATTTGATTCAAAAATCTTTGTTTGAATGTTAATGACTTTCATTTGATTCAAAAAGCTTTGTTAAATGTATTTGCCTTTCATACGATTCAAAAAGATTTGCTTGAATGTGTTTGGCACTCATTTGATTATAAAAGCTTTGTTTGAATGTGTTTGACTTTCATTTGATTCAATAAGCTTTCTTTAAATATGTTTAACCTTCTTTTGTTTAAAAATCTTTGTTTGAATGTATTTGACTTTCATTTGATTAAATTAACTTCGTTGAATGCGTTTGTCTATCATTTGATTTAAAAATCTTTATCTGAATGTGTTTGACTTTCATTTTATTCAAAAAGCTTTGTTGGAATGTATTTGACTTTCATTTGATTAAAAAAGCTTTGTTTGAATGTGTTAGACTTTTACTTTATTCAATTAATTTTGTTGAATGCATTTGACTTTCATTTGGTTCAAAAATTTTTATTTTAATGTGTTTAACTTTCATTTTATTTAAAAAGTTATGTTTGAATGCGTTTGAATTTCATTTGATTCAATTATCTTCGTTGAATGTATTTAACTTTCTTTCAATCCAAAAAGCACTATCTGAATGCATTTTACTTTCATTTGATTCAAAAAGCTTTGTTTGAATGTTTTTTACTTTCATTTGATTCAATTTGTTTCATTTAATGCATTTGACTTTCATTCGATTCAAAATTCTTTGTTTGAATACATTTGATTTTCTTTTGATTTAAAAATCTTTGTTTTATGTGTTTTACATTTATTTTATTCAATTGGACTCGTTGAATGCATTTTACTTTAATTCGATTTAAAAAGCTTTGTTTTAATATGTTTGACTTTCATTCAATTCAAAAAGCTTAGTTTGCATGTGTTTGATTTTAATTTTATTCAATTATCTTCGTTGAATGCATTTGACTTTCATTCGATCATAAAAGCATTGTCTGAATGCATTTGACTTTCATTCGATTTAAAAAGCTTTGTTTGAATGTTTTTGACATTTATTTGATTCAGAAAGCTTTTTTTTTTTTTTGGTAAATAGAAATTTTATTACCAAAAGAAACTGCAAAGCAGCAGGATAAAACAAGCACTCAGGCCAAAACACCACACGCCCACAAGGGCAATCAAACCCCGGGCAAGGCCCAAAGTCCAGAGGCCACCTTCTAGGAAGGGTTCCAAAGGACCAAGAACCAACAACATGCCTAACTGTACACTAAGGAGACGAGCTACCCTCTAGGAGGATTACCCGAAACCAAAGGAACAAGAAAAAACAAAAACGAACAAAAACAAAAAAATCCTAACAAATAAAACAGCCAAACTAAGAAAAAAACAAACTGAAAACACCAAATAAGCACAAAAAAATAGCAGACTCAACATAATAGCAGCAACTAGCCATGAGTGCAACCATAAACAGCCAAACCCAGCACCACAACACGAAAACAGCAAGCCTGACAGCAACCGGCTAGGACAACAACAACAAGTCAGCACAGATTAAGCAGCAAAACTAGCTCTGGCCTTAACAACCAGACAGGCAGAACAACAGCTAAAACAAAGCAGCAGCATCCACTTAAGAAACAGAATCAGCGCCCAAAGCCAGAACCCAAACCAGAAGGCAGCAACCCAAGACCAAACCAGAAACAGCAAAACAGACAATCAAGAAAGAATAAGTTTGGTTCTATCAGCATCTTGACATCTACAAGCAACTAGAAACATGATTTTCTTGACAAGAGCATCAACTGATTCACACACTCCATTAAACATGGTATTGTTCCTCTGAGCCCAAATACTGTACACAGCTTCAGCAAGAAACATGAGATTCAGCCTGCCTTTTGAAGTGGACTTTCTGCAATATTTAGCAGCCCATTGAACCTCTTGAGTAAACCCCTGAACAGGTTTCTTAATCTGTAGAACAAAAAGCAGTCTTTCCCAGATTCTGGAAGAATAAGAACACAGGAAAAACAAGTGATTTACACTCTCAGGGTCATGAAGGCAGAGTAAACAAATGGGGTCACAGGAAGGGTTCCATTTGAGCACTCTATCCTTAGTCAAAAGCCTGTTCCAATTAGCAAGCCACAGAATAAAAACACTCCTAGGAGAAGCATTACTATTACAGATTACCCTTCTCCAAGGAACCTTCTCCTCTTGTTGCCTGATTTTATTATAAATTTTTTTAATTTGAACTTTATTGTTCTTCAAGAGAGAATCCCAACCTCCAATATTATCAATAGTGCTCCTACACTTCATGATTTTCTTTAAATTCCAGGAACATTTATTAGGGACACAAGAAGACCAAAAGTCATGCTGTTTGAAATAATAGGTGTGAACCCATCTGACCCAAAAGGAGTCAGATTTATGAGCAATGTCCCATAAAACTTTACAAACTGCAGAGATATTCCAGTCATGGAGAGCAATAACATTCCAGCCACCACAAGATCTTGACAAACACACAGTGCTCCAGGAAACTAAAGCTCTTCTGGAAGGATTAGAAACCCCAGTCCATAAAAAAGCTTTGAACCTGCTTTCAGTCTCCCTCAAGATCTTTTTAGGCAATACAAAAATCTTAGCCCAATAAGTCTGTATACCAAATATAACACTTTTAATGAGTTGAAGTCTCCCAGAGTAAGAAAGAAATCTAGCAACCCAAATCTCAATTCTGGAAGTGATCCTCTGGACAAGGGGCTTACATTGCTGAATGGTGAGTTTCTTTGAGGATAAAGGAACCCCCAAATATCTAAAAGGAAGAGAACCAGCCACCATACCGAGCACAAATAACAGGGCATTCTGTTCAGCAGCTTGAATACCACCAAAGTAAACTTCACTTTTAATGAGGTTAGCAACCAAGCCAAAAGCAAAGGAAAACTTCTTAAAAGCATTAAACAAGAGTTGGACAGAATGCTCATCAGCCCTAGAAAACATAAGCAAATCATCTGCAAACATAAGGTGAACAAGAGAGAGCTTCTCACATCTGGGGTGAAAATTGAAATCAGGAACCTTACTTAACACATGAAAACATCTAGACAGATATTCCATGCTCAAAGCAAACAAGAAAGGAGACATGGGGTCTCCTTGTCAAAGACCTTTCTTAGCACAGAAAGGGGGGGTGGGGCTACCATAGATAAGAATACAGAAAGAAACAGAAGTTATACACCCCATAATCCACCTAATAAACAAATTTGGGAAACCCAACTCCTCCATAACAGACCTTAAAAACCCCATTCAATAGAGTCATAAGCCTTTTTCAAGTCCACCTTAATCATGCATCTAGGGGAAATGAATTTATGACTATAACCCTTAATTAACTCAGTAGCAAGCAAAATATTATCACCAATATGCTTCCCAGGGATGAAACCAGCTTGAGCTTCACCAATAACCTCTCCAACCACTCTGGCAAGCCTAGCAGTCAAAATCTTAGAAATAATTTTATACAACACGGTGCAGCAAGCAATAGGTCTAAAATCCTTAACAAAAGTAGGATTTTGAACCTTAGGGACAAGAGTCACAGTAGTACAGTTCCACTGAGTATTCATAGTGCCAGTATCAAAAAAATCGTGAACTGCCTCATAAATATCAAGCTTGATTATGTCCCATGTGTACTTGAAAAATTTAGCATTAAACCCATCTATTCCAGGGGCTTTGTCATCACCTATACCCTGAATAGCACAATCAATCTCAACATTAGTAATAGGAGAGGACAGAAAGACCTGAGCATCAATAGAAAGGCATTTGCCAGCCCTCATAGTCACAAGATCAACAACATTCAGAGTATGAGAAGTGGAACCCATCAGCTGTTTATAAAAGGAGATACTTTAAGTTTCAATCTTAGTGGGATCCTTTAATAAAACCTGTTGATAAGTCATAATAGAGTTAATTCGATTCCTAGACTGCCTGTGTTTCATCATAGAAAAAAAATACTTGGTGTTAGAGTCACCAAGAGCCACCCACTCAATCCTGGATTTCTGTCTATACACACTTTCCTGCACTGACCTCCAGTATTTGAGGCTCTCAATAGCATCAGTCTCTTGTTCCATTAAAACAGAACTGCTAGGATTAAGGACCATTTAATCCTGAACATCAAGCAAAGCCAACTGCGCATCACAAACTCTTTGGTCAACATTACTGAAAGAATGCTTATTAAGCGTTTTCAACTGAGTCTTCAAGTTTCTGAGCTTGTTCCAAACCCTGGACATAGCATTACCTGGGACTCCACCACTCCAACATTCCAGAACCAACCCTAAGAAATCAGGGTGAGAAATGAGGCAGTTAAAAAATCTAAAAGGTCTTCCTTTACTAGGAGGAGCAGGAAACACTTCATACATAAGAGGAGAGTGATCAGTGAGGGAAGGAGCCAGATAGTGAGCCTCAACAGTAGGATAATGAAGTAACCATTCAAAGTTCACCAATCCTCTATCAATTCTAGTGAGAGTACGGGATCCAACATGAGCCTTATTAGACCAAGAATAGTAGGACCCTTTACTTTTTATCTCAACAAAGTTCATAGAATCCACAAAATTCCTGAAATCCCTGATTTCATAATCAGTCACATCATTGCCATTGATCCTGTCTTGATGCTGCAAAACCGAGTTGAAATCACCTGTGCATAGCCAAGGCAAAACAGCAGGACCAATAGCCTCAATACTAGACCAAAAACCCTTCCTGTCCTGTATGCTATGAAGCCCATACACAAAGGTAACATAAAACTGTCTACTGTAATCAATATTACTAATACAACAGTGGATAAACTGAGTGTGAATAGTAATAACCTCAACACGCAACTTATCACTCATCCACCCCAGCCAAATTCTACCTTTTCCAGAACAAGAATAGTTACAAACCCAATTTAAACCATACCCAATTTTCCTCTGCAATCCTGTACTCTTATGTTGTTTAACTTTAGTCTCAAGCAAACATATCAGATTACTTTTAGTCCTGTTCAGCAGCTGCCTAACATCAGCTACTTTAGAGGGGTCATTCAAACCCCTCACATTCCATACAGTGATAATCATGACTTTAAAGGGGGCCCACCCCCGCTTGGTTTGTCATTAGCATGATTCACATCCTCAACCTCATCCACAGGCAAGACAGAAAAAGCATTAGCTGTGTGGACCTCATTCAACTTATTGTTAACCGTATCACCCCTTTTCTTCATTGTATCCCATCCATCTCTATCACCACGAACTGTAGAGGTATTAGTTTTCACCTTCTGGACCCATGTTCGCAGTGGCTGGGCCTTTTTTGTAGGGTGTGTAGTCTGTTTCACCTTTGACTCAGTACACATATGCCCTACCTTATGACATTTATTATAGTATGGTGGGGTCCACCCATACTCAACTATCAATTCCACCATTTCACCTCTTGGGCTTTCAACCCAAACAGATTTAGCTAGGGGTTTAGTAATATCTATCTCAATTAACATCCTAGCAAATGAAACTCTTAACTGCCTGGATGTGCATTCATCAGCACAAATTGGCACACCAAAAATACTTCCAATTCTACTTAAGGTCTCAGCACCCCAACAATTAAGAGGGAGATTAGGGAGCTTAACCCATAAAGGAATAGTTCGAAGGATCTCAGCATGAAAATCAAATTTCTTAGACCATGGTTTCACAATTGCTGGCTTCCCTATAAACATATAAGGACCCCCACAAATCACAGAATTAAGATCATCCTCATTACACAAGTTAATTATGAAATATCCCTCATCATGCCAAAAAACATCCGGATTATTATGGATACCCCATTCATCACCAATAAACCATTTAATCGAAGCAATTGTCGGGTAATAGCCAACAACAAACAACACTATAGCATTTTTCCATTTTTTTAACCCTTCTTCAATTTTACTAGAAGGAAGGACAGCAATCTGCTTACCATCTCTAATTACAGGGGGGACATAACTCAGAGAGGCCCCTTTTGCATTCAATTTCCCAGTGAAAATATGCTCCTCAGGTGATTGATGATCAGTAGCAGCAGGATCTACACCAGGATGCTTGATAGAAGAGAGCCCAGCCTTATTTTCCCCAGCAGACACAGGAACAGAAGCATCGAGCTGATTGCTTATCAATGGAACAATAACCGAAGAACCTGGTACTGTTCCATTGGATTTTGGACCAACTGAGCCAAAATTGAGAGCAAGAAGTTGAGCATCCCTTCGAGTAACCTTCCCAGCAAAAGGATGGACTAAGCCTGGAGCAGGAGTAACCAACACATCTCCTTCATCAAAAACTTCATGCACTGTTTGAAATCCAGCAGAAACCGGTACAAAGAGGGATTCAGCAATTTCCTTTGAGATATTAGTAGGAGCAGGAGTAGCCTGCTTCTTCTTTCTAGCCATGAGAGTTGATTAATCGAAGAAAAACCAATTTAATCAAGCAACCATGGATGAAAACCAAGCTTTCTCTCTCTAGGGTTTCTTGTCCTCTTTATTGATTCAGAAAGCTTTGTTTAAATGTGTTTGACTTTCATTTGATTCAATTAGTTTCGTTTAATGCATTTGACTTTCATTCGATTCAAAATTTTTTCGTTTAACAGCTTTGTTTGAATGTGTTTGACTTCATTTGATTTAAAAAGATTTGTTTGAATGTGTTTGACTTTCATTTGATTCAAAAAGCTTTGTTTGATTGTTTATGACTTTCATCTGATTCAATTAGTTTTGTTAAATAACACTCATTTGATTATAAAAGCTTTGTTGGAATGTGTTTGACTTTCATTTGATTCAATAAGGTTTCTTTAAATATGTTTAACCTTCATTTGTTTAAAAATCTTTGTTTGAATGTGTTTGACTTTCATTTGAATTAATTAACTTCGTTGAATGCGTTTGTCTTTCATTCGTTTTCAAAATCTTTATCTGAATGTGTTTGACTTTCATTTGATTTTAAAAGCTTTGTTTGAATGTGTTTGACTTTCATTTGATTTAAAAAGCTTTGTATGAATGTGTTTGACTTTCATTTGATTCAATTAATTTTGTTGAATGCATTTGACTTTTATTCGGTTCAAAAAGCTTTATTTGAACGTGTTTGACTTTCTTTCGATTTAAAAAGCTTTGTTTGAATGTGTTTGGCTTCATTTGATTTAAAAAGATTTGCTTGAATGTGTTTGTCTATTATTAAATTCAAAAGGCATTGTTTGAATGTTTATGAGTTCATTCGATTCAAATAGCTTTGTTTAATGTATTTGAATTTCATACGATTCAAAAAGATTTGTTTGAATGTAGTTGACTTTCATTTGATTCAATAATTTTTCTTTAAATATGTTTAACATTCATTTGTTTAAAAATATTTGTTTGAATGTGTTTGATTTTCATTTGATTCAACTAACATCGTTGAATGCGTTTAATTTTCCTTCAATTTAAAAATCTTTATCTTAATGTTTTGACTTTCATTTGATTTAATTAACTTTGTTGAATGCATTTGTCTTTCATTCGGTTCAAAAAGCTTTATTTGAATGTGTTTACTTTCATTTGATTAAAAAAATTTTGTTTTAATGTGTATTACTTTCATTTGATTGAATTAGCTTTGTTTAATGTGTTTGAGTTTCATTTGATTCAAGAAATTTTGTTTGAATGTCTTTTACTTTCATTCGATTTAAAAACCTTTGTTTGAATGTGTTTGACTTTCATCTTATTCAAATATCTTCGATGAATTCATTTGACTTTCATTCGAATAAAAAAGCTTTGTTTGAACGTGTTTGACTTTCATGTTATTCAAAAAGCTTTGTTCTAATGAGTTTAACTTTCATTTGATTTAGAAAGCTCTTTTTTTCAATGTGTTTAACTTTCATTTGATTCAAAAAGCATTGTTTGAATGTGTTTGATATTCATTTGATTCAAAAATTTTAGTTTGAATGTGTTTAACTTTCATTTGATTCAAAAAGCTTTGTTAAATGTATTTGCCTTTCATACGATTCAAAAAGATTTGCTTGAATGTGTTTGGCACTTATTTGATTATAAAAGCTTTGTTTGAATGTGTTTGACTTTCATTTGATTCAATAAGCTTTCGTTAAATATGTTTAACCTTCATTTGTTTAAAAATCTTTGTTTGAATGTGTTTGACTTTCATTTGATTCAATTAACTTCGTTGAATGCGTTTGTCTTTCATTTGATTTAAAAATCTTTATCTGAATGTGTTTGACTTTCATTTTATTCAAAAAGCTTTGTTGGAATGTATTTGACTTTCATTTGATTAAAAAAGCTTTGTTTGAATGTGTTAGACTTTTACTTTATTCAATTAATTTTGTTGAATGCATTTGACTTTCATTTGGTTCAAAAATTTTTATTTTAATGTGTTTAACTTTCATTTTATTCAAAAAGTTATGCTTGAATGCGTTTGAATTTCATTTGATTCAATTATCTTCGTTGAATGTATTTAACTTTCTTTCAATCCAAAAAGCATTATCTAAATGCATTTTACTTTCATTCGATTCAAAAAGCTTTGTTTGAATGTTTTTTACTTTCATTTGATTCAATTTGTTTCATTTAATGCATTTGACTTTCATTCGATACAAAATTCTTTGTTTGAATACATTTGATTTTCTTTTGATTTAAAAATCTTTGTTTAATGTGTTTTACATTTATTTTATTCAATTGGATTCGTTGAATGCATTTTACTTGAATTCGATTTAAAAAGCTTTGTTTTAATATGTTTGACTTTCATTCAATTCAAAAAGCTTAGTTTGCATGTGTTTGATTTTAATTTGATTCAATTATCTTCGTTGAATGCATTTGACTTTCATTCGATCATAAAAGCATTGTTTGAATGCATTTGACTTTCATTCGATTTAAAAAGCTTTGTTTTAATGTTTTTTTACTTTCATTTGATTAAAAAAGCTTTGTTTGAATGTATTTGACTTTTATTTCATTCAGAAAGCTTTGTTTGAATGTGTTTGACTTTCATTTGATTCAATTAGTTTCGTTTAATGCATTTGACTTTCATTCGATTCAAAATTTTTTGTTTGGATGCATTTTTTTTTTCTTTCGATTTAAAAAGCTTTGTTTGAATGTGTTTGACTTCAGTTGATTTAAAAAGATTTGTTTGAATGTGTTTGACTTTCATTTGATTCAAAAAGCTTTGTTTGATAGTTTATGACTTTCATTTGATTCAATTAGTTTTGTTAAATAACACTCATTTGATTATAAATGCTTTGTTTGAATGTGTTTGACTTTCATTTGATTCAACAAGGTTTCTTTAAATATGTTTAACCTTCATTTGTTTAAAAATATTTGTTTGAATGTGTTTGACTTTCATTTGATTTAATTAACTTCGTTGAATGCGTTAGTCTTTCATTCGTTTTCAAAATCTTTATCTGAATGTGTTTGACTTTCATTTGATTTCAAAAGCTTTGTTTGAATGTGTTTGAATTTCATTTGATTTAAAAAGCTTTGTATGAATGTGTTTGACTTTCATTTGATTCAATTAACTTTGTTGAATGCATTTGACTTTCATTCGGTTCAAAAAGCTTTTTTTGAATGAGTTTGACTTTCTTTCGATTTGAAAAGCTTTGTTTGAATGTGTTTGACTTCATTTGATTTAAAAAGATTTGCTTGAATGTGTTTGTCTTTTATTTAATTCAAAAGGTATTGTTTTAATGTTTATGAGTTCATTCGATTCAATTAGCTTTGTTAAATATATTTAACTTTCATACGATTCAAAAAGATTTGATTGAATTTGTTTGAAACTCATTTTATTATAAAAGCTTTGTTTGAATGTAGTTGACTTTCATTTGATTCAATAATTTTTCTTTAAATATGTTTAACCTTCATTTGTTTAAAAATCTTTGTTTGAACGTGTTTGACTTTCATTTGATTCAATTAACATCGTTGAATGCGTTTGATTTTCCTTCAATTTAAAAATCTTTATCTTAATGTTTTGACTTTCATTTGATTCAATTGACTTTGTTGAATGCATTTGTCTTTCATTCGGTTGAAAAAGATTTATTTGAATGTGTTTACTTTCATTTGATTAAAAAAATTTTGTTTTAATGTGTATGACTTTCATTTGATTGAATTAGC